CGGGGGAGAAAAACAGATGTGGGAAGCAACCAGGAGTGTCTGCTCAAGCAGTCAGCAACCAAAGGCTTCAGCAAAATGTTTCATAATGGGAGGGCCATTCAAAACCAAATGACAGTGAGATATCATTTTACCTGCATCAGATTGGCAAACTATAAAAGTTCCAATAACTGCCAAGTCATATAAAGGATGTAGAAAAATGGGACTCTCATAACTGCCGCCAGGAGTATAAATTGCTATAAAGCCCTTTGGAGAGCAGTTTGTTTAGAGAAATTGCTTAGAGAAATTCCTACGAAAGTTGAAGATATTTGTACCTATAACCCAGGAGCTCTATCTACTTCTAGAGAAAGTCGCACATGCACTCAAGGAGAAAGATACAAGAATTCACTGCAGCATTGTGTGCAATATTGAAAAACTGGAAACAACCAAATGTCCATGGATAAATAAATTGTGGTATATGCATGCAATGAATTATAATACAGCAATTAAGGTAAATGACACAAAGCCACATGTATCAACATGGATAACTCTCAAAACATAAATTGAGAAGACAATTGAATTTGCAATGTTTCATTTCATTAAAAAAAAGAATAAGAGAAAAGAAACAAGACATGTTAAGATTTGATAAACTGGGTGGTAGTTGCACACGTGTTCATTATATTCTTTTTTTAGGATTGCAATTGAGGTTTTTGTCTGCATTTTTTTTTTAATTTTATTTATTTATTTTTTCCCCCCAAAGCCCCAGGAGAGAGTTGTATGTCATAGCTGCACATCCTTCTAGTTGCTGTATGTGGGACGTGGCCTCAGCATGCCTGGAGAAGCGGTGCGTCGGTGCGCGCTGGGGATCCGAACCCGGGCCGCCAGCAGCGGAGTGCATGCACTTAACCGCTAAGCCACGGGGCTGGCCCAGCATTCTTTTTGTTTTGTAAAATATACATAGTATTTACCATTTTAACCATTTTAAGTGTACAGTTCAGTGGCATTAAGTACATTCACATTGTTGTGCAACAATCACCACCATCCACCTCCACAACTTTTTTCATCTTCCCAAACTAAAACTCCATATCCATTAAACAATAATGCCTCATCCTCCCCTCTCTCCAATCCACAGAAACCACCATTCTGCTTTCTATCTCTATGAGTTTGACTACTCTAGGAACCTCATATAAGTGGAATCATACAGTATTTTTCCTTTTGTGACTGGCTTATTTCACTTAGCAGAAAGTCTTCAAGGTTTATCAATGTTGTAGCATGTATCAGAATTTCCTTCCTTTTTAGGGCTGAATAATATTCCATTGCATGTATATACCACATTTTGTTTATCCATTCATCTGTCAACGGATCTGTCTTGGGTTGCCTCCACCTTTTGTCTATGTGAATAATGCTGCTATGAATGTGGGTGTACAAATATCTGTTTGAGTCCCTGCTTTCAATTCTTTTGGGTATACACCCCAAAGTGGAACTGCCAGATCATATGGTAATTCTACTTTTAATTTTTTGAGGAACATTATTCTTTATTATATGCTCGAAACGGTTCACAATAAAACTGTCTTTTAAAATGCTTCCCGATGGGAAGAAGTTGCTATGAAAAAAGTTGTGTTTTGTATCATCTTGAAGTAAGAATGCCCTTACATACATCTGATACTCTTTAAGAAGTCAAAATATTTAGTGGACATGGCATTGGCTCTCCAAGCCTCTAGAAGGTTAACCTACAGCCATGCGGGTTCTCAAACTCCCCCTACCAGCAATGGGTTCAAGAGGGCCTGGGGCCGGTTTAAGGACAGTGAGATGAGAAAAAAAGAGTGTGGGGGGGAGGTGGGGACTTCAGGGAACTGTTTCCTTACTCCTAAAGAAGACACTAGGAGGTGGTGGGCTCCTTTCCAGCTGTGCCTGTGTTAGCCATGATGGCTGAAACTAATGCCGTCATCTTGCTACCATCCCGACAGCGGAGTCACACAAGCTACGCTGAAGGCTGGGAGGGGCTTAAGTTCCAGGGTTGTGGAGTTTTTGATTGTATTGTGGGCAATGCAGGTACAGGTACATGCAATAAATTATTCACAATAAGTTATTGCTACTTTTTATGTAATAAATTATTATCCTATTATTCAAGCTGCTTGAGGGAAAGCTATTAGTTGAGGTTGAAAGCCTCTTCATTGATTTAATAAATAACTTCTAATTTAAAAAATTAAACAAGGAATATACATTCTCATTATAAGCACTGAAGAATACAGAGTAAATTAAAAGTTCTCCTTCACTGTCCCCATCCCATTTTCCTTCCCTAGACCTTTTTTATTACGTATATATATATAGACTATGTACATTATACACAGGTTTTTGTTCGAAGAAAATTTTGGCCAAACTATATATAGATCACTATTTAACCTGCTCTTTTTATCTAGAAATAGGTTTTAAAAAACATTCCACATCAGGACTTAACAATCTACTTCATTTTAAAAAGTATCGTAGAGGATTCCACGGTGTGTGAGTACTTCCATTCATTTCACTTTTCCTGTACTGATGAACTTGTAGACATACCTCTTTGGACACTGGTGAAAATACTTCTGAAGAGTAAATTCCCTGAGGTAGAATCCCTAAGTTAGGAGATCAGTGCAGTTTAAGTTTTGATAGATGTCGACCTGCCCCAACAATGCCTGTGCCAGTCTAGGTGCCTACGGTCCCCCCCACAGCTGCCGGCCTCTTCCCACCCGCTCGCCACCAGTTGCCACCTTAGTGACAACAGCGTGCATTTCTGCCATAACGAAGCCCTGTGCGTCTATGGGAAGAATGAGAGAACTGAGGGGAGGACATGCTGGCCCTGCCTTCCAGAACTTTCTTTCTCTTAGTGGGAAAAAGAAGCAACATTCAAGGCAGTTAGTGACTCACCAGGGATGATATGGAAACTATTTAATAACCCGTGTTGGGAACGCAAATCAGGATGGAGGCCCTGCCTCAGTGCCTGCAGAAGGGAGGCTAGAGGCCCCCGGCTCGGCCAGACATTAACCCTTTAGTTGTTAGATTTATGAAGGTCTGGGAGGCCCCAAGGAAGGAGCTGATGGGTGCAGACAGGACTGGATGGCCATACGGGTGCAGACAGGCTGATGTGGTTGTGGCATTCCAAAGGGCTGTAGGAGATCTGAGGAGTGGGACTCCAAGAAAGCTTCTGGGAGGAAGAGGCTTTCTTGCACAATTTGGCCTGGGAGGAGAAGCAGGCAGGCCAGGGTCAGCTGGGCCAAAGGCAAGCCCTGACCTTCTACTTCCCTTCTCTGCATACGTGTCCTCCTTTGCACCCCTCTGTAGAGTCCCTCCTCTTTCTAGTCTTCCCAAAGAAATACACATTGATCTGGGGCAAATTTACTCAGTTGGGAAGAAACACTAACTTGGTGAATTTTATAATATGAAAAGACTCCATCAAACCCTTCTTGACCCCAACTCTCTCTATTTTGTACAGTAGAGAAAGGCAAGATTCCAAACTGACCCAGTGTCCCTCCATGTTGGGGAAAGGACCAGAGAGCTGACTGCAGACAGGTGGAGCTAGCCCCTGAAGACACACTCCTGGCCTTCTCCTGGAAGGGCCTTGTAACCTGCAGGACTTGCTGAGCTCCAGGAGAGGCCCTGCCTGGTGCCATGCTGTTGGATGACCCATGAAACCGAGGCACTCAGGCACCCTGCATCAGGCCCAGAGAAGCCTGATGAGAATCTGCCATCCCCCATTGACAGACCAGGGGAAACTGAGGCCCCAAAAGGGAGGTCAAACAGGTATTCAGGAGCAGGGGCAAAAACAGGGCTGAGTGCTGTTTGGAGGGCCTCACTTTTAGTGCTCTGATGGAGAAGTGTGGCTGAGACAGGGACGCAGGAGGCTGCTTAGCTCCAGGCAAACAGGCTAGGTGGATGGAGAATCCAGGGGCTCTCAGCCAACTGTCCCTGCCTGAGAGGTCAAGACGCCTCAGGAAACCTTCTTGGTTCCCAGTTCAGGCCAACCCGAGGCCGGCCTTGTCCTCTGCCTGGGGAGGATGGGTGAGGAAGACGCCATCTTTGGTCTCCAGGTCCAGGTACCAAGGTCGTTTGGCACCATCTCTCCCGCCTACCAGATTGATTGCAGGCAGGGCCCGGCCGGTTCTTCCCTTTTTCTGTCAAGGCCCGTTGCCCGACCTCACAGGCCTCCCATAGCCGTTTTGCACTGAGATGCCCGATTGGTAATGGAAACACTGAGGTCCGGGGCCTCTCAGGGAATCACAAAGGACCAGGAAGTCAAGTGGCGCTTCTCAGATCTGCAGGCCGTGGAGAAGGTCAGCCGGGAACGGAGCCGTTTATTTTGCCTTTTAGCTCAGAGGATGAAGAGGGAGGGCATTGTCTTCTACAAAAAGACGCCAAAAACTGCCCCCCCCTTTTTACAGCCCCTCCTCATTGTGTCCAGCTGTGTGAAGTAAGACCCCGAGTTTCCAGCACTTTCTGGAGTGCTGGCAGAACGTGAGCGCATGTGGGAACCTGTGCTGGGGGAAGCGGGGACGCAGGGAGCCCCATCCGCAGCCAGAGGAGAGACGAGGGAAGGATCCATCGGTTTAAGGCCCCGTCACCTCGGAGCCCCGCGGAGCTCCAAGAAAGTGTTCCCTCCCGCCGGGATCTGGGAGTGCAACGCACCTGGAGAGCGCTCCGTGTCCACGCCCAGAGGGCGCTGCAGACTGGCGCCCACAGTCGAGGACCAGTTACCGCCCCTCCCGCCCCTCTCCCGTACGGAGCCTCGATACCCTGGGCCGGGGCGGAAGGGGGTGTGCCCCGGCCCCCACCACCTGGGAGCAGCGGAGCTGAAACACCGGGAACCGCCGCCTGCGGACCAACCACAGCTCCGGAGCCGGGCGAGGCTCTGCCCCCACCGTGCGGAGGGGGCGGGGCGGGGGCAGGGCTAGGGCGCAGGGGGTGGGGCGTTTCGAGGGGCCGGGCTGGGTGGCTCAGGGGGGCGGGGTCCTAGGGGGTGGGGACTGGGGCTGGCCCAGAGACCTGGCGAGCTGGGGGTGGGGGGCCAGTTTTTGCAACGGCTAAGGGCCTGTGGGTTTATTATAAGGCGGAGCTCCGCCGGAGAGGTGCGGGTGGGAGCCGAGCCGAGCGGAGAGGAATCTAGCAGTAGAGAGCGGACTGCAGCCGGCGGACCCTGCCGCCCTCGCCTAGGACAGCCGCGCGCTGGGCATCGCCGGAAGGGTCCGCGCGCAGCGCAACCGGCTGAGCCGGCCCGGAGCCCCGCGTAGTCCGCGCAGCCCCGACCCGCGCAGCCCGCCGCCTGTCCGGGCAGCATGAGGCGCGCGGCGCTCTGGCTCTGGCTCTGCGCACTGGCGCTGCGCCTGCAGCCGGCCCTCCCGGTGAGTGCGGCCCGAGGCCGGGCTGGGAGGCGGCGGGAAGCCCGGGCTTGCAGACCCGCCGATGCCGGCGGCGGCACGTGGAGGGGGAGGGGAAACGGGGACTTCCCCTCTTCCCGCGCTAGCCCAGCTGGCCTGGAGACCGTGAGCCCCGAAATCGAGGCTCCCACCCCTATTGCCTCCGCCGTCGGTGGGCGCCGCGCGGGTTCCGCCGCTCCGGGCCGGGGGCCAGGGCGCCCCTGAGAGCGGAGCCTGCGCCGAGGCCCCGCGCTCAATTCTGAAAAACGGCTCTACATGCGTCGGAGCCCGCCAGCCTGCGGCAGCACCGGGGGTCGCCGGCTCCCACCCAGTCACCCCAGGCACCGTGGCGGCCGCGCCCCGCGCCGGTGACCCGGGAGGATGCAGTGACCGCGGCCACAACGCTCCGCCCGCAGACTCTAATTCAAACCAGACCTGCCGAGCCCGGGCGCCCGGCCCCTTCGGCGGAGGCAAGTTTGGGCGCAGCGGAGCCGGCGCGGGAGCGGGCAGGCGCGTTTGCCAAGGAGCCGGGGCCAGGGCTGCGCGGGGGACGCGGGCGGCGGGCGGAGGTGGGGTCCTCGGCCTTCCGTTGGCTGCCCTAGGGGAGCTGGGCCGAGCTGGCAGCAAGAGGTTCCGGGAAGTTGGCCCCAGAACGCTAGAGACCTGCAGGAACCCAACTTGTGGGCTGCTGAAGTTGTGCGGCCCGCGGAGGGGCGTGTGCCCGTGCTGGGCACCGCCTGGGCGGGCGGGCGCCTTCCACTCGAGTGGACCCGGGAATGGCTCTTCCCCTCCCCCGACCCGGCTTTGTGCTGGAGCCGCGAGGAGGGAAGGCGGGACCCTTGGCCCGCCCAGTGGAGCTGGGGGAAAAGAAGGACAAATGTGGAGCCCGAGGCTGGGGGGAGGCCTTTGGGTAGGACTTCAGCATCCACATTTGGCCAGGGGTGGGACCCCTCTAACGAGGGACCTGGCCGACAAGAGCATCCCGAGGGTCCCCAGAAAGTGATCTCCTGCCCCAGCCGCTGTCCCCTAGCCCGCCTTCCCCAATGGGGGCGCTTTGTTCTCGGCCCCTGTAACCCTTTCCTGGGAACCGCCCCGCAGCGCTGGCCCTGACGTGGGCTGGGACCTGGGCGGCCGCCAGGTGTCAGCGCTGGCCACCGGCTGCCCACGTCCACCCCGCCAGCCCCCATACCGGTGCTAGAGTCCCGGGGTCCTCTCCGCGGGCCGGGTCGGCCATCCCCTGGGATGCAGAGGGGAGGTGCGAAGCGAGGGGCTAGTCCCCTTCCGGAAGTGGCGGTCTCTCGCCACCACATCTGGACGGCTCCACTTCCCTAGCTCTGGCAAGGGAGGCACGTGGGCAGGGAAGGAGCGCCGGCGGTGTCTGTGTGTGGGGGGGTACCCCCGTCCTCCACTTGTAATGTGGCATTTGGACAAGTCTCTCAGCAATGCCAACCTTCTTTAAGCGGGTCCTTCTAGAATGATAGTAGGTATCAGTTATTGAGACCTTGGGGGTATTTTACAGGGTCAGCCTCAGGTGAGGTGTCTTCCAGGCTGATCTGTGAAGAGCCCTGCTTCCCAGGTGACTGTTGAGCTTGGAAGCGTTTTGAAGTCCAGGAGATGGTCCCTGAGGCCTCTTGAACTGCAGATGAGTTGGAGTGTGTGGGGGTGTGTATCTGGGGGAGCCATGGGGAAAAATGAGATTTCTGAGCTGGCTCTCCGGTGCACTCCTGGCTTTCAGGTCTGGCTCCTCCTTTGCTCTTTCAGGCGATGGCTTCTGTGGGACTCAGACTGTGCCTTGAACCATAGTTAACACTGGAGAAGGCAGTGGAGCTGCTTGGCTTACCTCCCTGGCCCACCTGGCCTTACCTGGTACTCCCCTCTCTCCAGGCCCAAGGTGGGCCGCAGCAGTATTCCACCTATTTCCAGCTAGAATCGGGAGGAGTGGTGGTGGTTGCCTTCCCCGCCGTGGGTGAGGCTGGCATTCCTGTGAGCTGGGATCCCAGAGTACCGTTAATACTGGGGAGGCAGAGGATCTGAGATTCTCTGTGGACCACGTCTCCCAGAGTTTTCTGTGTGCTGGGTAGGGGCAGATGCTGCAATATGAGGCATTTTTTCTCGCCTAGAAACTTTGACACATTATGGAGACACAGGGCCCAGGAGACAGTTGAGTCTCAAGGGGAAAGGAGAGAAGGAGAGTGGCTCATTAAAGCTGGGTGGTGGGAGGGCTTCCTGGAGTGGGTGGTTGAGCTGAGCCTGGAAGCACTAAGCTTTGGAATCAGACTCTGGCTTGGAGCTTAGGTTTTCTTTTTTCTTTTATAAAGTTTAGTTTCATTTCCCTTTCCGAGCTCTGTCCTTTCTTTCTTACAGTGTGTGTCCATGTTTGATTAAAAGTGGGGGCATAAAGTACCTTCCCAGAGTCTTCCTCTACCCTCTTCCTAAAAGAAAGAAGGCAGTGGGATTTGCCTAAATGTAAGAGGGTGTCCACAGGTTGCAGAGAGCTGGCCCTCTCCCACGGTTCTCTTTGGCCCCAGTGGGAAGCAGGTCAGAACCCCCTGGGGACCACGAGGTAGGGCATGATCCTGGGCACCTGACTTTGAATGGGTGAGGGAAGGCTGCTAGGGCAGGAGGCTGCTCAAAACCACTCCCAAGAGACGAGAACAAGTTTGTCTAAAGAGGTTTCTGTGCGTGTGTGTGTGTGTGTGTGTGTGTGTGTGTGTGTGTGTTTCCTGTGGTCTTTTGTTTCTGCCATGCAAGAAAAATTGCTTGTTCTGGGAATTTATTTCCTGTTTTCTTCTCTTTCTCTCTTCTCTTTCTTGAAAGGCATAAAATCCCTTTTTGCCTTAATTATGGGGGCTAGTAGAGACATTTCCCGCCGGCCTGGCGGAGTAGGGGGGGTAGGGGGGCACTAACTGCCTGGCCTGGGCTCCGAGCCTCCCAGAGGTGACGTCACTCCTGGCTTCAGCTCCAGTGGGAGGGTGGAGCCAGTTTAAGTCTCTACCTGTGGCTCATGGGGAGTCCAATAAAACCTCATTAACCCAGATTGGTGGGGAGAGGGATAAGAAGGGAGAGGAGCCTGGAAAGAATTAATGAAAAGCTTGAATTTTGGAGTATTTTATAGAGGAATGTTTTTTATTGCAGCAGAATTTTGAATTCTGAATTCTCTTGGGAATGAGGTATCCTTGGTATCCAGGTTTTTTGGTGACTTATGAATCAATATTACCCTCAAAAGTATTCTTATTTTGGGCAGGATTCTCTGAAATGTTTATTTCCCTTCTGTTATTAACAAAAGAATATGGGGGCCGGTCCCGTTGCGTTGCCGTTAAGTACACTGCTGGTGGCCCGGGTTCCATCCCTGGCGCGCACTGAGGCACCGCTTGTCAAGCCATGCTGTGGTGGTGTCCCATATAAAGTGGAGGAAGATGGGCATGGATGTTAGCCCAGGGCCAGTCTTCCTCAGCAAAAAGAGGATTGGCAAAGGATGTTAGCTCAGGGCTGATCTTCCTCACACACAAAAAAAGAGAGAATACAAAGCATGATCTCTGGATGCTGGGGTCCTCACTTTTGTCCCTGTGTTAGGTTACAGCATGTCTGCTGGCTTTATTGAGCTCCAAAGAGCACTTTGCCCCAGTACCTGGTGCCCCAGGTTGCTACATTTTGAAATCTCATTTGCTCTTTTCCCTCTTCCATCCCTGTCCAATAGCAGCCAAAAGTGGCATGTGTGTGCCTAAGGGTGGCAAGCAGCTTTTCGGTTCAGTTCTGATTTGCACTTCTCTCCAGCAGTACTAAGAAACGAATCAGATTTGTTAGAATTATTTCTAAGACAAGAGTTTTCAGTTCTGAGTTAGGGTCTCGCCTGTGAGTCGTGTTCATGATCTGTGGTATGTGGATCTCGTGCCATCACGGAGCAGCTGGGACCCCTGCAGTACCCCTGCTAGAATAACAGAGAGCCTGTCAAGGGAGGTGCTTACGAGCTCCCTCGGTAAACAGATGTGAATGACCTCTGGGAGGAAGCTCCTGAAGACCCCGAGTTCCTCCACCTGACTTGAGTTGTAAGTGACTTGCCAGTCACGGGTAGCCTGGACCTAGTGAGGCTAACTCACGATAAATCCTGATTGGCAAGGGCCCTCGTTCTTAGCTTGGGTCCCGTCTCCATCTCTTCCCCATGTTGTATTTGGATTCAGTGCACCGTCTTAGCGCACCCATAGTGCCTGGCAGGCCAGAAACAGCTTTGGATTAAGTGGAACCCCAGGATCGAGGCTCAACTCTGCCACTAATTTACCACGTCATCTCGAGTGAGTCACTGCACTTCCGAGTCTTGATGTCCTGTGTAAAGCGGGCATCATACCTGTTCTCCCTGTCCTCATTCTGTCATTTGCGTGTTCATTTCATAATGAATGCGTGAAAGTATTTGGTAATGAAAGCGCCGGAGGAAAGTTAGCTGTCGATATAATTAGGGTCACTTACATTGAGTGCTCGGTGCTTTCCCTACATTCTTATTTACTCTTTACCCCAAATCTTTACAGTGTATATCATTGTTCCCATTCTGTGGATGAAGCCTGTAGAAGTGAGCCCCTCCAAGGGACCGACGTGGCAGAACCAGGATTCCTATGTATGTGTGTGCACATGTGTATGGCATGAATAAATCGATGGACTGTCCAGTCTCCCCTATGAAGCCTGGCATATGGGGCTGGCTGAACTCTGCAAGGCCCCAGTAGGTATTTGCTGTTCCATTCAGGAGAACCATGGTGTGTGTATTTTGGACGGAGGGGGCGTTGGGCTAGGCTGAGCTGGCCTGAACAGTGGCCTGACCCACCCCACCCCGGGGGTGGTGGGAGCATACTGTTCCCATGTTGGTCCCCCAGGGCAGCAGCCAGCCTGCACTGACTTTCATCTTGGGCACTGGGGAAACATTTGTGGATTTGGAAATCCTTTTTTAAGCCTGGGAGGCGAGCACCATGGCACAGGTGGGTTTACCAGAACCCGGGACT